ATCATTATTGAGCCTCGCCATTACCATAAAAACGGCTAACTGGGATAGTAGGAGGCCAAATGGCAGTACAAATAAGTTCCATGATTTGAACTGTCTCCTTCGTTCTGTATGAATTATTCACTCTTCGGTGCATTTCAAACATGTTTGGGCGGCTGTCGAATTAATCCAATTTATGTGTAAAATACGTGCAAGTTTGCAGTTGAAACATTTCACAGAGAAATCCGTCAACGATTTAAATCATAGATGGTGTTTGTAAAGATAATCGGGATGGAAGGAAAAATGAAGTTGTACCACACTCCTAAGAGACCAAGGAAAACAAAAGAAATTAAATGAATGCAAAGACTTCGAGTTGTTGGCCAAATTTTGCAGTCAGCTTACTGGACTAAAAATTTGTGAAACTAAGTGTTCAAATAGTGAAATTCAGCTGTTATATTTCATTTAGAAAACATTTCTGGAATTTTTCACTCCACATTTTGGGAGTAATGCAATGTAGTGGTGAAGTTTCTTTGGGTAAAAGAAATACGTGGAGTAAGATTGTCTGCCGGGCTTTGCTGGTGTTTATACCAGGCTTCGCTTTGCCGGCGTGGTGTTCGTGTGGCGTGGCCCAAAAAGTTGGGGATGCGTGAAAACCTCTGCTTTGAAAAGCATTTGGCACACAGCGATAGATTGTGATGCATTTTGTAAATAAACCACACTTGATGCATGCAAGCGCCTGGAATCGCTGAGGCTCTCGGGCATGAAGGCACCCGGTGCTCTTGCTCTGTGCATACATAGACATGATTCAGATGTAGACGAGGCAGTATATAGCCATGGGTGTTCAGGTTCTATGGAGCATTGTTTACGCTTGGTAGGTCCAAGTGATCTCGGTTTTGGATGACATTTTAAAACCTCTGAAAGGGATACATAAGTTTGGTATGAGTGGTTAGACAATATCAGGTAAGAGTCAAATGTTCGCATGAATATGGGGAGCAGGAGCAAAAATTCCTCCTCATAGGGCGCTGCTTTCCACCCAAAATGGGCAATTCTAGGACACTGCATAGAAGTTTGTTTCGTCGCTTCTGCGTCCGAAATTCCATCAGATGTTTTTAATAAGCTTCGACAAATTTTGGTCGTAAGAGATCACACTTGTCCATAAAACTATGATCTTGTTTATTGCCGGCTAGTCACAATTTATGACGTTATGCGCCCATCCAAACATGTTTCAAGTCTTTACAAAACACGCCCAACCAAAATTGCCCATTAAAGGCGCGTGGTTACAAAGTCAACATTAAAAGGGTTTTAAAATGTTAAGAAAAGTTTTGCACAGCAATGTTACGAAAACGGCTTTTGTTACGGACCATGTAATGGAAGTGGTCACTGAGAAGAAAAGGCGTTTCTGTCCAGACCTTACCTACCACAGCTTCTCCCTTCCAGAGCACTTGGATGAGTTACTTTCCAACTTCTGGACTTCATTAGAGCCACGTGACGAACGGCTCTGAGCAGCGCGCTGTTCTCCATCAATAACCCCAACAGCAGTCCATTTACGGAGCAGCAGTGTTATACGAAGCATGCCACGCGCGCGGCTCCTTCGACACCAGGTACGGTTCAGAACTAAAGCGAGTTCACCACGAATGCGCAGACCGCGCCGTGCGTATGGCACCATGACCTTCTTCGCGCGAAATCCAAAAACGCGTATTGGATGGTTTGGAGGGTTTGATTTCCAGCGACAAGTTCTTATCTGTCTGTACGACGGTACGTGTGTTTTTTGTCCTATCACCTTAGGATGACGACGTAAAACGCGCAATGACAGGTAAGACACGCAGTCGTGAGATGATAATTGTTGGGGCTTTACGTCCCTTCGTCTTACGAATGCCGTTGTGTCTGAGCACCTGCAATAAAAAGCCGAAATCGAATGAAACAGACGATATGCAAAAAAGCGCTGCGTGGTAGATACTCAGTTGGCGCTATTCACGCGAGGGGCGTTAACCTTCAGGTAGTCGTTCGAGTTGCGCTGTCACGCGACGTCCGGTTAGTTGCTAGGGACGCGGTGGGCAAGCCAAACGTTATTGGAAACGACTTTTGGCGAACTTACAGCAACTAGTTGGATAAGTCAGATTTGAACACTAAAATAGTGCATTAAAAATCCATTAAACGTCCGTTTCAGCTCCAAGACCGAAAAACAACCAGTGAAGAGAGGATTTTGACAGACATCGACACAGTGGGCTTGATTATCTGAAGGTGGCGTTTTTATGATCATATTATTTCAGGTCATGTCCATGACCTGGGAGCAGGATCGCAAACTGCTGCGCTGGTCGACCCCTGGTGAATTGCCGCCGCGCTGTAACTGGCTCCCTCCGTAGGTCACTGAGGACGGGGCTCAGCTTAGTTGACTTAGTTTACTTAACTTAAGACGGTGCATTGACCTACTCCATGTAGGTGGCTCCACTCTTTTACCCGTTGGTATTTGTCAAACCTAGCACTATCGTCACCATCATCCTTGACCACGATTATCAATGTAACC